CCCGAGACTGTCTGTTAGAGAAGAGTCATCGATCAGCCGGACCGCCCTCCTCTGGACAGCATCGAGCATGGACAATGTAGTCGGGGCGGCAGCACCCCAAATGTGTGAGCAATACTCGAGGCTAGGCCTTATCTGGGCCTTGTATAGAGTGAGAAGGTCATGCGGAGAAAAGTACTTCTTAGCCCTAAACAAATAGCCTAGCTTTTTCCCAGCAGCTGCAGCTATTGAAGAGATGTGTTCGTGCCAGATCAGGTCCTCGGTGATCTGGACTCCGACCAGCCGAAATGAATGGCTCTTTGGTAGAACTCGACCGTCCATCGAGACTGTATGAGCGCTAGGACGCTTTTTGTTCGTCAAAGTACAGTACTGTGTTTTGGAAGCATTGAACTGTACAAGATTGTTGCGTCCCCAAGCAGTGATAGCCTCCAGGTCTCTTGTCAGAGAAGAAGTCGTCGCTAGTCTTCTTTTTTCCAGCTCAGCGGCAGAGATCGGCTTGTCACTCTGAATTCCTGCATGTAGAGTGCTGTCATCAGCGAAGCTGTGGATTGAGTTGATCGTGCAGGAAAGGAGGTCGTTGATATGTAAGAGAAACAGTGTTGGAGCCAAGACCGATCCCTGGGGAACATCCGCGTTGACGTTGTGGGATGAAGAGGAGAATCCGTCAATTACGACGGATAGTTCCATCCTGACACGTAAGTGGTGGAAGGCTACTGTGTGAGAAGTTCTTTTCAATCTGCTTGGCCAGCGTCCAGAAAGACCGACTGCCATTGCGCTGCGACATTACCCTGTGCCTAACTTTTATATCATGCTGGGTTTTGGCATTGCGAACCGCTTCGTTATATTTGTTTCTGGACTCGACGTCGGCTTGTCTGTTCTCTACAGTGGGGTTTTGTAAGTAGGTTCTGTGGGCCTTGATCTTCTGCTGGCGAGCAGTGTCACACGATTTGTTGAACCAGCCGTTGGACCCTGGTTTAGGAACTTTCGCTGTGTGAGGGATGCATTCCTCCATTCCGACGTGGATAATTTCGGTTATTGAAGAACAGACAGTCGACGCATCCGCGTCAGTGAAACAGACATCTCTCCAAGGAAAGCTAGAGAAGAATTCTCTGAGCCCCTCCCAGTCGGCATGTCCGTAATGCCAAGTTTTGCGGCCTGTGCGAGTTTCTGCGGCCACAGCGGCTTCTGACTGAAACCTAACCTCCACAACATCGTGATCTGAGTTACCCAGGGGGGACAGGACGGCAGTGTTGTAAGGGGCAGGATGCTTGGTCAGAAAGAGATCCAGCAGGCTACTGGCGTGTGACGAGACGCGGGGGAAAAAAGTAGAGCTCGTCACCAGCTGGGTCAGCACTTGAGTAAGAGCGAACGCTTCGACTGCACGACCTGCTGCATCGGTCTTATTTGAGCCCAACCAAAGCTGATTATGGGCATTGAAATCACCGGGAAGAACTACATCTGAAGCGGGGTGATTGATGTTCAGGAAGTCGATCTGGACGGCGAGGTATTCGAGTAGGTCATCCCAGTTACGGTTCGAGGGAGAGCGATGAAGGCAGCAAATAAATTTGGGTGATGTTTTGGAGTTGAGGCGAAGCCACAGAATGTCCTTCCGGTCTGATTCCAAAGAAAGATCCCTGGAGCAGGAAAGACTGCTGCGGACAAAAGCCACAACTCCCCCTTTCTTTCTCAGATTGGAGTGCACCTCGTAGTTTGGGAAGTTGAGATGGTTAATCGGTGCAGCCTCTGAGATTTTTGTCTCCGCCAAGAAAAGCACGGCGGGACGATTGGATTGCAGGTAGTGATGAACAGCATCAATGCTGCTGTTGATCCCGCAGATGTCGAAAAACAAATTTTATCTTCGATGTTGTTCCCTCGAGCCCACCCTCCACCCGGACATTCCGAGAGTGGAGTGAGTTTACGTCCGGAGTTTTTAGTGCTCGAGGGATCCATCATCATTAATTTCTTTGTTTTGGTAGATAACCGACTGCATAGCTTAGGTGTGGAAACATGCGGACATTTATAAGACACCCTGGGAAAAGCTAGCGGATGGTACTGCCTCGGTCGACTGGTCCTTGTCTACCACCTTCTTTTTACGTATTAGTGATGTTAAATAGACCTAAAGTGGCCCGTTAGCGGACTTGTACCGCCACCCGGCAATCGGTACTGAGGTATTCCTTAACGCGTGCGCAATCACTTGGACGGGAAGAAGTTGTATACTGGATACAACGACTTCCGGAACAAGCATTTGCCACGGCCCTCGCTCAGTAGGGGGGTGCAATACTTCATTTATTTTATACGGATCTGATAGGCTCACGGTTACTGTAGAATCTTTCTGAGATTCCACTTTGAAAGTCTTTAGGGTTCTATAAAACTTTTTTATATCCTGATTTTAAACAGCTTGTAACTAATATAAATAAATATATCAGAATGTTTTGGGGAAATTGTAAATGGACAACTTATTTGATGAAAACGTCTGAAAAGGGTTGCTCGACGAGAATATGGGTCATTCTAGGAAACATTTTCCCCTTCCGTTTTTCAGTTGCGAAAAATAGGGAGAGAAATATTTTTTATTTTTTCAAGTTATTTTATCGCTAAGGGAATGAACCTTGGCCCCTTGCTTAACCCTATGATGCTCACACATTAATTTTTTGAACACCCAAAGTGGGCAAATAATTTTCAAGCTACTGCAACCACTGAAAGTCTCGATTCGCACGACACTGATTAGTATTGTGACAAATATATGTTATACAAACAAAGTAAATATCAGATTAAAATATATAAAATTTTGTTTTTATTACGCTGTTTTTGAGACAAAAATGTTTTTATGATCTATTTAACAGTTCGTGGAGGTCCCACGATTGCCGCTTACTCATTTTGTATATTGTAGATGCATGATAGTAAAACACAATAATCCTACTGTGACTTATGAAATATGAAATTATTTCTAGATTTAAATTGCTAAGGCTTTGCAACGCAATGAAAATAAAAGCGTTGATTGATCAACTTTTTCCTACAATTATTATTGATGTGAAATAAAGCCTACTTGGGAAGAAATTAACTCTCCAGGCGCAGTGAAGAACTGGGGGCCAACGGTTATTTTTAAATATTAAAATGTAGGATGTTCTCAGGCGTTCAGGATATAAATTTTGATAATAAGATGCTTACAGTATGAGTTTACGGTTAATAAAAATCAAAATAATTATAATTTTTTATTACCAAGGTACATAATCAAAAGCATCTTTCAAAGATTTGTTAAAGCCACTTGCACTAAAAATAAAAAATATCTTTAAGCACATGAATCTCTATTTATCATTCATTAGTATGCTGATCATGCTCTAATCTTCTCTTTTTTTTGCCTGATTATGTTTATAACTGAATCATCACAAGTCTCTCTATCGCTACAAGTTTGAACCTAATAAATGAATATTAGCACTTATTTTGAACAATCATCGATATATTTTACAGGCTTTGCTTCTTCAAGAGGAAGGTCAATGGATGTTGTAACTATGTATACATTTTACTCCCAACTGTTGTAAGCTTTAATAATAAAAATAGTACAATAATGGTAATTCGTTAGTGTGTAGATATAGGTGCATATTTAATTAGCCGTAATCTCATAATGTGAACATACCGTACGTTTTTATATTCATAATTAACCGCTTGCGATATTTTGAATATCCAAAATCGTCTCCCTTCCCTCGCGCCCCACTGCATGCGGAGAATTAGGTTTGTTCCAGGTAGGCTCTGGAATGACTCCTTTTCACAACAATTATTGTAGAAAAAGTTGATCAATGAAAGTTTTCACTGGCTTGTGAATTATAAATTTAAGCAAAATAGATTTTTTTGTTTTAAATCACAGTACAATACCTCCTCTGAAAGATGAGGACCAGCCGATATTGTTTGAAGCTGTAAAAATAGATTTTTATGCAAAACATTTTTTCCAAAAAAAAACCGCTATAGAAACAAAAAGTCGAGATATTTTTATTTCGACTTTATTGATCTTTTATAGTCAAAGCACACGTTTGTTACAGGATTAGAACTCAGTATCGTGGCTTTACTAAAATGAGTTGCACAATTTTGATGTTCAAAAATTTAATCTGTGAGTATTTCAAGGCCAAGATTCATGCCAGTAGCGGTATAACAAAAGATAAAAAAAGACGAGTCAACCCTACTTTACGAACATAAAAAAACGAAGCGGAACATTTATTTTCTGCACGCCCCATATTCTCGTTCAGTAAACTATACACGTTTTTACCAAATAATTTGAATACTTACAATAGGCCCCATAGTAAGATTCCTGACCTTGACAGTTTTCATCTAATAATAGTTCGGCCTAGAATTCTTTCTTTTTCATCAGAACCACTATACGGATAACACGTACTTCTCGTTTCGTTCTTCCAGCAACGTAAATTAAAAAAGAGCGCAATGTACTTGATATAAAAATATATGAGTGGGATTAGGAAAAATAGTTAGGGTTCACGCCCTCAACATCCTTTTGGACCTTTGGGCCTCACGGAGACATTTCTCTTTGGACCCTTAGATCTTAGCTTTGGATTCCCACTCTAGTCTTTGGTTTGGAACTTACCTATGCCTTACTGAAGCTTTAAGTTGGGTTTCACCTCGGACCCAATTTTTGGACCTGTTTATGGCCTTACTTTGGACCCTTGCCGTGCGCTTTGGCCACCTTGCTCTACGATCCAGGAGTCTAGACCACTTCAGCCTCAGCATTTCATCAAGCATGAGAAGCTCAGCTACAGTTTTTCCTTCACTGCGTTATGTATTTTGTTTCCTAAGAATTGACATTATACGAGGTCTGTAAATTAGCTGTCGAGAATTTTTTTTTTATTTTTTATTCAAATATAATAATTTTGTATTGTCACCTCCAAATAACTTCCTTCTATTCAACTGTCCAAAAATAAGTTCTCTTGAGGTGATTTTTTAACTTCGAGGAGAGTAAAAGGTCACCAGGATTCAAGTCAGGTGAATAAGGAGGCTGAAGATCTGCAGTAATGTTTTTAATGGCCAAAAACTCGTTTATTATTACATATATTATTTTAAACTCGCCAAGGAGCATTATCAGTTGTCCTTGATCTGACGAACGGTGGTGTTAGTCAAATTTCTGAACGCACTTGGAATAAAGAAAAATATCTCGTTATTACTAATTATTTTATTTGACTGATAGAATACACTTCTGAATGTCATCAACAGTGAATTGTCCTAATTTCTCAGCTTCCTTGACTGTCTGATGGGCAGACGCAACAACTTTCAAGGAGAGGTTACCCATGTCTACCAAGGTATTCGTTATTTGCCTTGACACTTGTGTGGGTATGTGCAACAAAGCATTGGACACCTTGGTTAGTTGTGATGTCCAACATGTGAATTCATCTAGAAGACTTCCCTCGCAAGGATTGATCTCAATCTTATCGATTGTTTGTCTTATCTGCAATTGAAAATTGAGAACATGTTAAAAAATGAATCAGGTTGGCTAACAATTATTCTGTGCTTAAATGGCGTCAAATAAATCTATATATATATATAATATCTACTTTAAATATCCAGCAATCAAAGTTAAGTTTTGCACACGTATCAGTTATGTAGTAGTAGTATAGTATCTGAATCAACTTTCACCCGTTCTGGTATCTTTACTCTTCGCCGGTCATGATAGCCCTTATAACTTATAAGGTATGTAATGCATATAATTGAATTATTCACTCAAATCTTTCTGAAATAACCGGCCCTGACTATTATACATTGCGCAAAATATCTGGATAACTTTTGTATGCTCTGGTAACATTACAGTCGTTGTCGACGACCTCGATGACACTATGGCTGGGACATCGTCGACGTTGCTGGGTTTGGATTGGGTCGTTCGCAGGTAAAGGTTATTGCGCCTTCCCGGTATTGTGGTGTTGCTGAAGTCATAGACGTATTATGCGAAATATGTTTGATACTGTCTGTGGGTTACACAGCCGTAAATTTATTTAAAAGTTTCATCAAACCCACACCACATCAGACCCACAGACCAACAGACAGACCGACTGAAATGAGTGTTTTTTGTGATTTACGTGTCGTATAGAACACCTTCGAAGTTTGTGGCGATTACAAAAATTCCTCGCCATTGGCGTGGGAAGTAAACGAGTAAATGGAAGTATACTGAAAGTCTATAATCAGGACTATTCAATCAGACTAGAGGTCATTCAATACCCATGCTAAAATGACGTAGCAACTACTATTGAAAGTGATACTTTGGAGAAATAGAAACACGTTTTTACATTTACCAGGATGATTTTTTGCATAGCCTTTCTAGTTACCTTGCTCAAAGATGCTTCCATTCTGGCTGCTTCTTCTTGTAGGGCTGTGGTTATTTCTGCATTAAGCGCTTGAAGAAGTTGCGCAATTGAGTTTTCGAATATTTCTACTTTTGGTGTGACACACTCACTTATATTCATACCTCTTTGTTCAGCTTGATCTATAAACTTTTGAACCTGTATTTCCAATGCATCCGCTAATCCTGTAAATAAGCATAAGCTCGTTTTCAAAAAGTATATACCCTGGAATTTCACAGCTGGTTCAGTTTTTTACTTAGAATACCTTAAGAACAGGCTAGATGCATATTGCACCACTAACGACATGGTTTTTGTGTATGTCGCAAAAAAATGGTGTGAAGTAGATTGACTATAGAGTATATGTATGGACAAATGGACATCCCACGCGGCTTTTAATCTGAATATTTTCAAGAAACAAAAAATTAGTAATGTCTCTTAAAAAAACAAATGGATTGTCTTAGTACGTTCACTTAAGTGCGATATACCGTAAGCTCTCACATCCCAAATCATGTTTCTGTTTTTAATCACAAAAATTTATATAGGGTGACTTTGAAGTTGAGTCATTAATTTTCAGATAATGATTGTAGAAGGAAGATAAACCAAAATATGTGTGTAAAAATAAAAAAAAAAATTACCTTGTTTTATAAAGTATCCTCCCGACAAGTATTTCAGTGCGGACCTGTATTTGATCGTGAGGTCTTGGAGCACCGGCATGCCGTCCCCTGTGAGGTCTTAAGTCACCTGATTCACGAGCCCGTTGTACTACATTAACAAAGGCACGAGGGGTTGGTTGCACTCGATTGGGAAACCGATCCGCATAAACATGTGCCATTTTTTATTTCGTTTGAGCCACGCAACAGTGGTATTCACTCACGCGTTACCGACTGACACTGACTGTATACAACTGAATAAAATAATTGTAAAAACATCGTTCCAAATTCTTTCGCTTTTTTGTTTCCGATGCGATGAACCGATAAGGCGGATTATGTCCGTTGCCAAACACGAGCACATAATATTATTATTGAGGGCGGTACTCAAACTTCCAAAGGGCTATAACTTTGTTACTTTAATTTTACCAGAAAAATGGTAAAGGAAAAAACATTTCTTTTGATCAGATCTACTCACTGTTAAAATAAATGACTCAACTTCGAAGTCACCCTGTATATTATATGTGACATCTGTATCAGAAAAATCGCTTATTTCCGTCGGTCTATTCGTCAGTCTGATTGTCTATAACTTGTTAAGTACTGGTCGGATTTTGATGAATTTTTCACTCGAACCAAAGACAAAAATAGTGTTTTCTAGTTTTTGAAAATCAGTGGCGTCGGTGGAAACGGACAGAAACGAAAAAAATAAAAGTCTCGCAAAATTTTGTTTTTTGACGTTTAAGAGAATCCTAATCATTTTCAGAAAAATGGGTTAAAAAGTATGTGCTGGGGATTGTATGGAATGGAGGAAAGTATATGTTGAATTTTTGATGCTTTCAATTCATACGTTTCCAATCACGGAGGTTTCCGTGCAGAATTGTCTTTAAGACTTTAAATATATTTTCGATATACGCCTTCAGGACATCTTAACGAACAAAAGTCTGTATGCTTCGAGTGCTGAAGGATTACTGAATGATCGTGCATAGGGGATAGGCTGGATCGCAGTGTTGTCAAATCTGTGGGGATAATAGACTAATAGCATGAGCATATTTGACTGACATGATCGATTTAATTCCACAACTATTCGTATCCGTAGTCAACGTGTTTAGAGATAACTTGTTCCGAACGTAATATTTTATAAATTGATCACAGCGTTGCGTAGGAAATCCAGGGTTAACCCACCTGACGCCTTTTTTTCTGTTATGTCAGATACGCATTACCATGATCTGAAAATTCTTAAAAATCCTTCTCGCCCCGTACAGTTTCAATCCCCAATTTTTATCCCATTCCAAAAATTGTCTGAAGAGTCTAGAAACGTTGATAAACGAAGCGTGAATGATATTCCCATTTTTTTACCTGTAGCACCTCGGACATCGCGTTTTTTGGATTTGGTACGATAGTAATGTTAGCAGACAAACAGACAGACATACATGATTTTCAAGTTATACACGTCACTTAACATATATATGTATACATAAAACATGATATCCCACTTTCGACGTTTTTCGCGTATACGATACGGCAGCTGAAGTAAAAGGTAATATGATACATTTATAATCAGACTTGCCGGTGTCCACTCAGATTTGCTCAACATGTAAGTAACTTTGGCACCTGATAACGTTTCCTAACGAAAATCAATCTACCTCACATAAAGATTCTCGCCGTGACCCTTTACACTCTATTCCCAAATCCGATACCTTTGCAGACCTTTAAATGTCAGTCACGTACCTCTGAAGGGCCCGAAGGGAAGTTCCTGTATTTTTTACCTTTATGTTTTAAAGATTTCGACGAAATGTCTACTTCGCTTTTCGGAAACCGAATGTTTTTTCCATGCAACTTGTGAAAAATCTATCAAGTTCAGTTCAGCATCGTCGTTCTTTATATCTCAGGGGTTCCATAAAAAGTCTATTTCTGTGGCAGATAGTTAAGAAGGCATAATTCAGTTTTTTGTATGGCAGTATCACGTGTTTCTTGAGACGACGGTTATAAGAAAAGTTCTGTCAAATTGTATCAGTAAATCCCATTAAAATCACAATCAGATTTGATCCTAGTGTCAAATTCGTTAAAAAAGTTTGTCTTCACTGTTCAGCGTTCCAGTACCCAATTCTTACAGTGTGCTATCTTCTTCATCATCTTTATATAAAAATGTGAATGCCTGCCCGGCCTGTCAGTATCACAGAACATACAAAAAATTGGTCAAAGTCAACTTACATAAAAACTCAATACCATATACGGTAATTGACAAAAGTATATAGACAAATATGAATATTTACCTAAATACCTTTAGAAAACGAAATCATACTTCATTGCTCCAGAAACAAATGCGTTATTAGTAAAAAAACTAAATTCTTTGTTTTTACATTATCTGCAATGAACACAATACAAGTCTGAATATAAACACTTTTTTATGAGGGAAAAAATATGTAGACAAATTCTTTTCAACATTAGTTTAGTACAGTTTCGTGTCAGAAGAGGATTAGTTTGTATTCATCAATTATTGTGGAATAAGTTGAGTGATTTTAAGACCATGCCGCGTGGTCCAGGAATTTCTTTGAATGTGAAAACTAAGATCATTGAGTTATACAAAGATGGTCGACGTCAAGTCGACATTGCCGAAAATTTGAAGCTGAAGCTGGGCAATATTGAACAAATATAAACAAAAAGGTATCTTGGACGGCTCTAAAGAGAAGTGGTCGGCCTAGACAACTAAATGTTAGATCAGTTAGATTAATGAAAGTAATTTCGTCCAAAGATACGTTTAAAACCCCAAGACAAATAAAAGCCGAAATCGAGACAAAAGGAATTGCCAGTGTTTCTACGAAAACTATAAGTAGAAGATTAAGTGATTTCATTATGGATAAGTTTGTATACACAGACATACTAAAGCATGCCATGTTACCCTTAAGATAAATCTTCCAGCAAGAAAATGACCCGAAGCACACTTCAAATCTCGCAAAGAAATTCTTTCTGGATGAAATAATACCAGTTCTCAAATGGCCTTCACAGGCTCCCGATATAAAGCCCATTGAAAATCTATGGGAATATTTAGATAAGCAAATACGAGATAAAAATTATTCAAACAAGGATGAACTTTTTGCCGCTTTAGAGCAAAATTGGAGACAGATTGATTAATCTTATATCAATAAACTTCTACAATCTATGCCGAGACGATGCCAGGCGGTGATTGATAATAATGGTTATGCTACAAAATATTAACACAAACATGGTTGGTCTTCTATAATTCAATGAACTTTGCTTCTTTTTTCTATAACTGTTTTGCTTTGTCTATATTCCTTCATAGTTCCAGTTTTTTGCAATAAATTTTTTATTAAAGTGAATCTAATGAATTTATTTATGTATAAGTGAGTATTGTGCTATAACGAATTATGTATACAGGTTGGTGTATTAATAAAACAAGTTAAGAAAGAAATAGAGCACAATATTAATTTGTCTATATACTTTTGTCCATTACTGTATGTTTCGTCTTCCTGGACAAAAGTTATCATGGGACCAAAGCAATTCTAACGCTTGGTTTCTGAGAAATAGGGGGATAGCTGGACCAATTTAAAAAAAGGTGAATGTGTCAGAGAATTGGTACCCTGAAATAAATATTCTAATATAAAAATCCTTGTAGCGAGGTGTTGGGAGGTGTCAAGTTGACCTTCACTATGATCCTGAGAAGCTCAAATCATGCAAAATGCAAATACCACTACTCGTCGTTGTAATGTCAGTGTCTGTCATCAATATGTCAGGACTGGTGGCCCAGAAACCAGACAAGTTGTAGGGGCAAAATGCAAATGCAGCACACGAAGATTGTACGGCGGTTAAAACAAATGAATTATGTCGCCTAGTAGATACAAATAAATGAAGGTAGTTGTTTAATTGATCATAAAGGGTAGGCCATCAGTTAGTTTTTTTTTCCCAAGTTGGTGTTATTTTGACAGTTGGTAACACTTCCATGCTCAACATATTGTCAGATATATTATGTCAAACTTCCGCTATGAGCAATGGATCGTTTTAATCTTGACCAAAGGTGGGAAATATTGAAAAGCTATTTTCAGAGTGTTGCAGAAACTTTGCGAAAATTGAGAAGACCACTTGGTCAAAATGAAGCTCCGTCCGCGAGTGGTATCAGTCGCCCTTCTGTGAGGAGAATATTGCATAACTACCTGGGATTATCTCCTTACAAGGTGCAACTTGTGCAAGAGTTGAAGCAAAATGATCATCCGCTTCGATATCGTTTCTCCAAATATCGTCATTGAAAAACCAATGCATCCAAAAAGAGTAACTGTTTGGTGTGGCTTTTGGAGAGGCGGGATTTTCAAGATGAAGATGGGAACAGCGTGACGGTAAACGGGGAACGCTATAGAGACATGTTGAGGAGTTTTTTGTGGCCACTATTAGCGATATGCACTTGCACAATCTCTGGTTTCACCAGGATGGCGCAATATGCCACACCAGCCGTGAAACAATCAATCTTTGGTTTTGGAGACGTTCATTATCCGCAGCTATAATTTGACGCCCATCGATTACTTCCTATGGGGAACTGTTATGGATCACTGTTACACTAACGATCCTCAAAGAGTTTATGTTCTTAAGGAAAATATCCGTCGAGCTATTGATGAAATAGATCCACAAACTATCGAAAATGTGCTTAAAAAGTGATTAAGAGAATGTACAACTGCCAGGCCAGCCGCGGCAGCCATTTAACTCAAATTGTTCTTCATAAATAATCGGAAGCTGTATTCTTTTGAATAAAGTATCGAGTTTTACATATTATTAAAGAATCTAGTTTTAATACCAATTTAAAAGAATAAACCAACGGTTTTATATGTCATTAATTTACTTTGTACTTCGCTGTCGAGGTGGCCAAAAAGTCACCAAAATAGTTAATTTATTGGCCAATGTAAAGTAGCTGCAACAACTTAAAGCAATGTTCGCACTTGTAAGCTGTCTCTTTAATCTTCAAAATCATGGCATAACCTTGACTTGACCTTGTAAAGGTCATAATTAAGGATAAGGAAATGGTCACGACCTTTTTGTGCCCTTGAGAAGTGAACTTTCCTATTGAGTTCTCTGTAGTCTCGAACAACTCATGCCAGATCTATTCCAGAATCATTGTTAAAGAACTTGATCTTGGTCAAGACCAACATGATACCTCCCAACACCTTCCTACAAGGTGTGTTAAGAGATGCTTCTTTCAGGAAAGTACTCTCGGAGTTTTAAGTTTGAGAACTGCACATCCACCATTTTTGCAAATCGCACAATCTGGCATAGGATTGCTTTAATTCCATAAGGACTTTTGTTCAGGAAGGTATGAAATATATCAAACTGAATTTTCAGACAAATCGTCTGGCACCCATTTTCCATAGGTTTTGTCCGGGTCTTTTGTACGCTTACTAGTTGATACTCGAGTAATGTTATAGGCATGGTTTTATCCTTGTACTTGTAGTCGTTGATTTTGACAATATTCAACTGTCGCGGCAAGAGCCAAAATCAACCTGTGACCGTCATGATACCGTCGTTTTATTTGGTTACTGTACTAGTGACGCCACCTTTATTTTCCAAAGATAAAACCGTGGGACCGAAGGATATTCTTTGATAAAGGTTACTTGCTTACGCCTTAACTATACTATGCTGATGATTCCTACTGAGAGCAAAACGTCAAGGTAACCTGAACCGACTGACGTTTTCGCTTTACAGTACTACGAGTCTACGAGGGATGTCTTTTAAGTTTTGCATATAGAAACATACTAGGCCGCGCGCATCGAACGTCAGTTCTGAATCTTAACCTCACTCTTTAGTAAACTCAAATTCAAATTTTCACAACAATACGTGCAGTGTTCTCACGACATTGGATTTTTAAGTGTCTCCAAGTCATTAGAAAAATGGAACTCAGCCGAGAACATTTTCGCGCCATAATTTATTACAACTTTCAGAGACAATTATCGCAACAAGGATGCCTTGCTGAGTTACTGTCTGTTTTCGGCAACGAAGCGCCACATCAGTCGACAATTTCCAGTTTTTATCGAGAATGCAAACGTGGACGGGTGAGTCTTAGTGACGACGATCCCAGGGTGGGTGCACCAAAAATGGCAGTCACCCAGGAAGACGTCGATGCTGTGCGCAAACTCATCATTGAAGATAGACATGTGACATATCGCGAGATTGAGGCGTCCTTGAAGATCTCAAAGACCTCAATTCAAAAAATTTTACATGAAGAATTAGGAGTAAGAAAATTAGTTTCTCGTTGGATACCCCACCTGTTGACTGAAGAGCAGAAAGCAGCCAGGGTTAATTGGTGTCAAGAAATGATTGACCGTTTCAATTCTGGATACTCAGAAAATGTGTACAGCATTGTTAGTGGTGATGAATCGTGGATTTACTGTTATGAACCAGAAAATACACGACAGTCGGCTGTTTGGGTGTTCCAAGGTGAAGAAAAGCCAACAGAAGTCATCCGTTCTCAAAGTGTTTCGAAAAAGATGGTCGCGACATTTGTGTCAAAAGCGGGTCATATTGCAACAATTCCTCTCAATGAGCAAATAACTGTACTGTGGATTGGTATACCACCACTGGTTTGCCAAAAGTAATCACCGAGCTTCGAAAAATCAACCCCGAAAGAAGAATCATCCTCCACCAAGACAATGCAAGCTCGCACACAGCACAAAAAACAAGGCAGTATTTAACGCAAGAAAACGTGGAATTATTGGACCATCCTCCATATAGTCCCGATCTAAATCCTAACGATTTCTTTACTTTCCCGAAAATTAAAAACAGACTGCTGGTCAAAGGTTTCAGTCACCAGAAGAAGCAGTTGACGCATTCAAAAATGCCGTTTTGGATCTGCCAGCAAACGAGTGGAATAAGTGCTTCGAAAATTGGTTCGAGCGCATGCTACCTACTGTGTTGTTTTATTTCCATATGCAAAACTTAAAAGACATCCCTCGTAATTACTTGATTGATATCATTACTCTAAGAAATAATCTTAATATTTGAAAAAACATTTTTACACCCATGGGAAACGGTAAGGTATTCATACTTATCCGCACCTTGAATTTTTGATTTGGCTAGTTCTTCTATTCTCCTGATTACTCCATCTGCTTTCGCCAATGCTGCTTGAAACTGTTTGCTAGCAAAATCTAGCAACTTTTCAAGAATTCCTTTTAGTCTGTCTAATAGTTCTCTAACGAGCTTAGCTATACTGAATTTAACGTCTGGAGGTAAGTCATCTATCTCTCCTGAACTTGCTAGCGAAATGTCTCTTGATATTGCAACTTCTTCCTCTAGTGAACATAGTTTCTCGGGAATCTGGTGAAAATACATAATGAGTTGGACATTATATGCTGAACATGTTCATAAAATAATTCTTCTAATACCTTTAAAACTCAAATTTGAAAGTTTAAATTACGACGCTCACAGATACCAGATGATTTGAAAACTTTCCGGACTCTTCATGGAAAAAGATTAGCTGATTTTGAAAATACGTTTATTCTTCTCCCTTTACATCTTTCCAGTGATTTTCTATTCGATTTTCACCTTTCCTGAAGTGTGTAGGAAGACGCGACACATAAACACATTTTCTAAGAAACTTTTTGGCAGGTCACATGATGCAAGGTCCTTCGAAATGACACTAGCATCTGGGAGCGGACCTAAGCACCATAAATCATGAGGTTTTCAGCCTACCAACGGAAACTTCATTCTAAGAACGCGGGAAGCGCCACATCGGGGCACGTGAACAGAAAGGATGCTCATAGAAAATTAAACATCTGTTCAGTTATACGGGGGTTTGATAACTTGAGATGAATTTGAAGCGAGAGTGAGTTTTAGTAGATAACGAAGTTTGTATATGGCACTTTAACTGGTTCAATGTACAAGAAACATTCACAATAGATTCTATCGAAATAATAGTTCAAAATAGCTAAAAGAACACGCTTTAATAATAGAAATTCGACCTAAATGGAATAAAATAATTTTCAAGAATAGGATAGCTACTGTTGCTGCAATATAAGGTCCAACAATCAACTATGACTGATTAATCATTACTAAAAATGCAATCGATATAGAAATTCAATTATAGTACCGTCGAGTGCTTGATATTTAATGCTACAATTAATGTTAGTTGCTATTTACAAAAATGAAGTTGTTATGAAAATATAGTTAATTGCACCCGGCTCGTTTTTACTATAATTATTATTATTTTTATTTTGTTAATATCGTAATATTTATATTGATTTCATTCCAAATTAATTAGTAATAATTGACTGTTGTGTTTTCTGTTGCAGTCGCACAAACTCTCTTATAATTGAAAATAATTTTGTTACTGTTCAATTCGAATGGCTATTAAAGCCTGTTTTCTAGTTTTTTAAACAATAATTTATTTTATGAATGTGTAGTCCCAAAACGACCACAAAAGTTTTTTCGTTTTTTGGTACATTTTATATTCGATTTAAATCTAAACGTACTTCCATATTTTTTCAAATATATAAATTCTCAAAATGTCTCAAAGATTCTCAATTTGTTTTAAATTCCCAAACCTTCAAATATTTTCCAAATTTTAAAATTTTCGAATTCAATTTTTTTTTCAAATTCCAAAATTCGGTCCTTGACCCGTGTACAAATTTTCAAGTTAATCCGATCTATTGAAAATGGAGAAAATCTAATAAAAGCGTATTAAAATAAAAAATAAGAGAATGCATAAGTTTACTTACCTTATTGGCTTGAGAAACGAAAATCACTCCTAAAAATATAAGCAAAACCTCTGAACCCATCGCACTATCAACTGGTATGGCACTGGCAGAATAATCGGTGTCCCGTTTTTTATCGTCTTTTAAACATGATTTGATGTATTTATATTCGATATATCCATTGTCTCGCTCAAGAGCCTGCCCTTGATCCAAATAAACATGTGAACTAGTTAACGAAATTTGTTAAATCAACAGTGCCTTGGCCGTATTTACCTTTGTGATAGGCTGCTTGTTTTCCCAATTATTGTTAAACGGTCGCTAGGACAATATGAGCTATAACAAACGATCGCGATGATCGGAGTTTTCGACTCTGAATTCTGAAATCCCTTTTTCCATCATTGTATTATACGCAATGACCGCTGAAGTATTAACGACGTGCATGATCGCAACTCGTTTTTTATATATCCCCCCATAAAACCATCGCGACTCTACTAAAGTTTTCTATATAATAAAAACGGAAGCGCTCGTTACATATTACCCAAGCTAGTACTTTTCCGGTATCCCGTAATGATCCCCATCTCTCATTTTCACCTCCACGCTGTCCGTATCGGTGGCGCATGGGAATTCAGCAGACGCCGGTTTGTACTCTACCCTCAACGTTCTATATTACCGGTCTAATTTGGCCTCGGCCCGTTCAAAAACAGCAACAGCGGCTACCGCTTTTGCAGGAGATACGCTAAAAGTCTTTAGTGCAAAACTACACCAACTACCGGAGTTTCCACTTAGCGTGGCCGCTTTTATTCCACCGCGAGCCACGCTAGTGCCGTTGCAGACCGGAGGCAGCTTTATAACTGCCCCGGAAAACCGCCGGAACAACCGCTTGCCGAAATGTGATATTGACACCTAGGAAGATGGGCTACAACGTGTTCTAGATGAAAGCTAATGGCAATTTCTGTCTTACAGAAATCGGCTGAACTGAATTTTGCTTTCCGTCTCTCTAACCATGGCCAACCGCATGGTATGTTGTTCTATGATCTTTGTCAATAATCGGTCCGGTATATTTCTAATAACGTATATACATAGTATATAATATAATGTCTCCGAAAGGTTGGAAAATCTCTGCTCTGTTCTGCAGCAACTTTGTTTTAATAACGTCATATTGGATTTTCTAACTCTGATTCAAAAAATGCATGTTATGTCATACATTGACATTGCCAAATCTTTCCTAGGTAGGCCTTGAAATTATGAGATTGTCATTTGTTTCATATACCATTTATCACAAAATCATTTTTATTTGAGATTGGATTTCAAAATTAATGCATGTTGTCATTGCCATTTTTTCTCCTCTACAAGATGTCGTAGTAAAATTTTCAATTCGAGGTATCTTCATTCAACTTGCATCACCAACTTTGTTTTTTCATATTGGAATTTTGTACATTTAAATTTCGTTTTTAGTCCTAAATTTAGCAATGTATATCCTTCATTGGCCATGAATTTGTTGTTCGAATGAAAACTATATGGAAATAAAAATGTTTGATCAATTTGTGCATTATGACAGTTTTTGAAGATCTCAAATTGAACATAATAACAGAGGCCGAGAAGGAGGGAAACTATAAAAGTTTTGCAATATGACTTAAAAAACGGACGCGGTATGCTGCATCTTAAGCATGTTGAGGCTTGTTCATGAGTGCATAGTAGCCGCCAGCTGCACGTCTGTTGATTTAGCTGTTCGTATTGACAGTGTAAAGTGCGGGCTATGGCATCGTGCTCAAGTTAGGTTCCACCATAACTTTTTATTCCGTTATAATTTTCATTACCATCTCAAATAAAGTCAGTAAAAAATAATACTGATTTTGTGATCAATCTGGTATATGAAACAGATGACTATATGATAATCTCAAGGGCTACCCAGAAAATTAATGTTTTCCTGAGACAAGTAATGTATGACATACACATTTTGAGAATCAAAATTAAAAGTTATATTCACATGTGCAAGAATCCATTAGGCGTTCTTAATAAAAAGTAAACGTGGTGCTGGGGGACAAGACATGAAACGTCATATTGAAACTATAAGTATGCAGGTAGCGTCTTGTGGAGAAGGTAAACTGGCAATGTTAATCTGCAATTTATTTTAAAATTATACTACAAATAAAGTCAGAAAAATTAAAGCTAGTTTGGACAAAGTCGGTTTTTCCGTCTCTCTTCGGAAATACTTTGAATTTCGAAATATTCTAAGAAGCATTTTGTTAAGTACCTAAATACGCATTCAAGCGACTTCGTGTCTTCTAACATTGCCAAGATCTCAATGATGAGGGCCCATTTTGAAACGCCTGGTAGAGACGTTTGTTGTTGTTTGTTTATTCATATAACTACACTCGTATCTGTCATAGCCGTAGCCGAAATGACAGGTGTCAGTGTTCTTTAGGAAATATCATGTCAGATTATATTGCTTGAAATTCTTATTCTAGCTCACCTAAAGTAGATTAAAGATAATTTATGAATCGAATCTCGTGAATTCAAAAGACCATATAGAGGAGTCATAACTTCGTCGATAACACGAAGTGGCGAATCTCAGAATATACGAAAATTGAGTTAAGTCGATTTTATTACTTAAAAAAGGTTGTTCTTCAATATCAGGAAGTGGAATAAGTCAGTTTCTGATACCTTCAGAGTTATAGAAAAATAATATTAGACTTATCTCATTTTAATAGGAAATTAAATTTCACGAGGGAGCTTAACTCAAGTTACTTCGTGTTATGGATGAGGAAATGTGTCTTAGGACCTTATTCTCCCAAAAGCCCTTAAAATTCAAGGCGGCTCCTAAGACTTGGAATCATCCAAACCAAGAGAATTTTATTTCTTATCTCACTTAGCAAAAAAAAACTCTGAACGTACGAATCGTTTAGCGACGCCTCCTGCAAAAAGAATTAGCCAAACGCGTAACTCTCAGCACAGAATGATCAACCAATAATATTTTTGTAGGTAATATATATATATATATATATATATATATATATATAGATAATAGATACGAATACTCTGCTAGTGTGTAGGTGGGTCCTTTCGATATATTTTTTTGTCAGACGATTTATTAGTTGAAATGGATGGAATTATGTTTGTGTGTGTTGTTTTTGTTTCGGTCCTTAGACCAGTCCTCTTACAGAAAGAAAAATATTTATAGATTTTGATTATCGGTCCTGTTATGACAAAGTAAACTAATTTAATCATTGGTTATTCTATAACTTAGAAAATATCACTGGATTTTGAAGAAATTTTTAATCGCCTATCTAATGATACCAGTATCATGAACAAATCTATAACTCCCTCAACCTTGACTTTATCTTTTTTTCGTTTCCGATTTTGAAAGCAAAAAAAAATTTTCTTAGAGGAGACAAAGTTCAGAAAAAACTTTTTTGATAAATTTAAGATGTGGTCAAGAGTTTATTTGAAAGATTCAAAGGTTGTGAAATCCGGAAAAGCTTGTTTTTCACATTCTAATCATCCAGTCACTTTAGTATAATGCTGTCACTGTCAACTCAAACGTACATATATTTTGGCAGAATAATGAGTTCTAGCATAATCAAATTTGAAAGCGTTTGAAACTAGTCCTTTGACAACGTTTAACACAATTTAATTATGTCATTATTATTTGGGTGAATGTTTTGTTTCTGCTACCATATTTATTTTTATAGGTAGTTAAGTAGTTTTAGGTACAGCGGATACTTATTTCGCAATAATATTCACTGTTCCCCTTTTTGTAAACATTCTATCACGTAATAAAACATTTTTTTTTAATTTCATGTGTTTTTATTTTTCATCACTTTAATATAACGCGGACGTAACTAAGTCTTTATTCTATGAATTACGATTCCTCAATTTCACAGAATGGCGTATCGACTTTTTTTGAACACATAAAATGAAATATGGGTTAATCGTTGCTCATTTTTGAAAACTTGTAAACATGAGCAGATATACTCACAAATTCAATTATGTAGCAATAATACCTTTTTGTCAGCAACAACTCAAATCTAGTGGAAATATTTAAAACGCTCCTGCAAAATTGGAAAAAATGGTATACGCCACTTCATGTTATGGACGACGATAAGAACAACAGAAATGCTTACCACTTTTTTCTTAAAATACATCGAAGTCAATACGCGTACGCACGCCACTGTTAAAGCTAAAAATTGAATTGCATTAAAAAATATCCAACTTTATTAACTTTCACTACGTACTAAATATCAGTGAAATATCTGTAACGGTTCTGAAAATATTAATTAATTTCCATTATTTTTTTCCTAAAATTTCAACACCCCGAGTTTTTGTAAGGAAACATTTTTGGACCGTAGTTTATAGAGCACTAACATCAATTTCTCATTTAGGTTCACACCCTTAAATACTCGCGTATCATTAAGGAACACTCTGTATAAACGCTAATGGACCATTCATATTTATTTCTAGAATAAAAGGACGTCATGTCATCTAGAACTTATTTACTGGGATCCTAACTGCACTCACGAAGCAACAAAGGCAGAGCTTGAATGCAGAAGCAACCACTTTAGAGCATAGTTTATTCACGTCTCGAAAAATGGGGGACTCGTGCCCTAGGTAAAGGCTAATGACTAGCACAGAAAAAACATTTCTAAAAACAATCTTTTATTCAGCTGTTAATAGAAACAACAAAAAAATCAAACATAACATTTCTAATTGGAGATAATTCTCAACATTTAAACGATGCAAGATAAAACTGTTCCATCTACGTGGATTACCCGTTTGCCCTCTTGTTGTTAAAATGAAACACCTTTATTTGAAAACGTATTTATTCCATCAAGCCATTTTATTTGCTATTCACGTCTCAGGCATTGCAAATGATAAATCGATGTTATGTAGCATCCGCCACATTGGATTCAAAATTACTCTATTTTGAGAATCAAACGTGTGTACAAACTTCAGCTGAATTGGTTAAGGAATACTGGTTGAGAACAAACTAACAAGTCGAGTCAAGTTAATGAGGCGTGAGATTACTTTGCGGTCAACCAGTGCGTCGGTCTCTGCTAACGTATAATCGGTCCACGTCTACAAATGCATTTAAATCTGCGATCCGATGATGAAAAAACATAAGAAGTAAAATCATTCAATGATATAATTGAAAGAAAATGTATGAATCGTTCAAAACGTCACTGGAGGTGACAGTTTGCCCGCGGCTTAACAAGTCTTCATCCGCGGCACGTGTCAGAATATTTTTAGTCCAGGAAGTAGGAGCCCCTTCTCACTTCAGTTGGCCCACGTCAAGATTTGTACCAAAATATGCCTTTATAAACTAAACATGACGAAACTATTTACTTAAAACGATTTATTTTCTCAAAAACATTTCAGATACTCTAGTCGTAAAAAATACATATTTGAAATCACTTAGACCTATAGCTAATAGAACATCTGAACAAATAAACAATGTGCGAATAAATGCGCGAAGTTAACAAAGCAACA